CGCACTCGGCTGCGAACCTTTCTAAGGAGCACTGGAGATCAGTTTCAGAAGATGCTAATAAAACAAAGTCCTCTGCAAACAGCAACCTTCTCGACTGAACATCTCCTACACCGATACCCTCATCGCCTTGGCAGCTCCTGACTATTCTATCTATGTACAACACAAATAGGGACAAGGGACATGACGCAGCCTTGGCGGAGACCAGTGCGAACACTGAATGGTTTCGACTTAACGCCACTAACTCTGACACAGCACCTGCTATTAGAATACGGTGATTGGATAGCCTTTAGCAACTTGCCATCAATCCCGTATGCACGAAAGCATGTCCACAGACGGTTGCGTGGGATTCGGTCATGCGTTTTCTCTAGGTCCACAAAAAATATGTACATCGGCTGGGCGTACTCCCTCGATTTCTCAACAACCTGGCGCAGGGCAAATATACGGTCAGAGGTGCTTGGATCGGGCCGGAAGCCACACTGCTCTTCTTGTATCTTGATGTCAGCCATTTCGCGGCACCTCATTTCTAGCACCTTTGCGTTGACTTTACCTGGGAGGCTCAATAACGTAATGCCCCTATAACTGGAGCATTCCTTGTGGTCTTTCTTCTAGAATACGGGTACAATAACTCCCGTTCTTCAGTCCGCTGATGTCCTACCTGCACTCATCGCTGTTTGACAGACCGCGTTTCACACAGCACATGCCTTGTTTTTCTAATGCCTTGAGCATCTCAGCGCGGATTTCGTCAATTCCACCAGCTTTTCCATTTTTCAAGCTTTTCACAGCTTGTGTAATTTTATCCACAGAAAGAGCAATATCCGTACCATTCTGATCTACTGGTGAGTTTTCTTGCGGCTGCATGGGGTTAAGGAGTTCCTCAGAGTACTCCCGCGATCGCCGAGGAATGTCATCATCCTTGGTAACAGGGTGTCCTGTCCTGGCTTTCAAGACTCTGAGACTGCTCTTCTTTTCACCTCGGAGCCGGCGGATAGTCTGCCAGAATACTTTGTTTGCTGCATGGAAATTGGACTCCAACACCTCATCGAACTTCTGCCAAGAATCAGCTTTGGCTTTCGCCACTGCCTTCGCTGCCGTTTTGCCTTTTCGACGTATCGTGCGCGAGTAGAAGGTTCTTTGTTTCCAAGCCATTTCTTGAACGCTGCTTTCTTCTCTTTAACTGCCAGTTGCACCTCTCATGTCCACAATGAAGATCTTTTCTGACCTCCCGGCTGCATACCAACCCATTTAAATCCGCAGCATTCAGCAGCGGCCT